ATTTCACGAAACTTAATTCGGATATCGTTTGAACCCCGAACGGATCTCGCCTACTGTGCGATTTCCGGGTTTAATACGTTTGAACCGTTGGATCGTAGTTAATCCCAAGTATGTTAATGTAGACTTTCTCAGGATTGTATAGTATTTGACGTATCGTAAAACGGAGTCCCGGATACTCCAGAAATGTCAGCCTTAGAGTAGGTTTTACGGATAAGTAAACCAGTTACAAAATAACGAACCAGTTGCAGGTCAAGAACAGAGGAGAGAACTACGTGTGGCTTGATCCCTCAGTAATGGTACGTAGGCAGCCTACAGTTACCAGGCGCAGCCACGAGTTAGGGCCCCAGAGTTTGTGTTAGCGTTTTCAGGTCATTTTGGTCATTTATGACCCACAGTCACCAGGTGTCAGTTTTAAACAGGTTTCGACCCGGATTCCAAAGTGGAAATTGGATCAGGTCGTTTCAATACATGTATATATGTATATTATAATATACATCGGTATAATACATATACATATATTTATATATATATATATATGTATGTATATATACATATATATTATATATATTATAAAATACATATGTATATATATTATATATTATAATATACCTACATATATACATGTATATAATATATGTGTATATAGGTGTATCTATATATTATAATATATGCATGGGTATAATACATATACATATATATATGTATATTATAATAGATAATATATATGGGTATGTTATATTAATAATATACATGTATATACGTGTATATATGTATATTATAATATATATATATATACACATATAGTATAAATATATAATGTATATGTGTATATACGTGTGTATATGTATATTATAATACATACATGGGTATAATATATATACACATATATGTATATATTACATATATATATTACATAAATACATGTACGCTATTATTATAATATTAATATGTATGTGTATATGGGTATATTATAATAATAATATATGTGTATATATCTATATGTATTTATATATATTATATATGTATATATGTGTTTATATATATACATGTATATGTGTATATACATATGTATACAGTGGCAGATCTAGGATTATATATGTATATATGTGTTCATTTTAAGATTAAACAACGCAAAAATAACAAATAAAAAACACACCAAAGTTATTCCAATTAATAAAAACATCATTCAATAAACCAAACTCATGTATTATGTAAATCATAAATTTCATCAAAATAATAAATAAACCCACCGAAAAATAACCCAAATAACAAAATACCTTGAATATTACCAAAAAAAAAAGAAAGAAAAAAGAACACAATGGGTGTTGAACCGTTGACCCCAAAGTCCTTTTCAATTTACAGACCATTATGGTAAATGATAACTTCATGTTACTAATGTATACTTTTAATATTTATAGGTGTACACAGAATTTAACAAATATTTTTTAAAAACCCTAACAAATATCTTCCTTTTTATAAAAATTTGTGTCAGCTTTCTTTCTTCTCCCTCTCAGTATTCTTCTTCTTCTTCCTACCCCTTTCTCTCTTTTCTTCTCCCTTTGGTTTCCTTCTTCCTCCCTAGCAGCTTGCATCTTCTTCTCCTCTTCCTCCCCCCCTCTCTCTTTCTTCTTCCTCCCTATTTCTTCTCCCTAGCAGTTTGTACCTTCTTCTCCATGGGGTCATCTCCCATGGTTGCCAAGAGAAACCAAGGACCTCCAAGCCATTTACAGAGCCGCCATGGGGTTGTCTGACCCCATTGACCTCATGGTGGATCCGCCACTGCATGTATATGTGTATATACGTGTATATATGTACATTAATATATAATATAATATATTACATATATACATGTATGCTATTATTATAATATTAATATGTACGTGTATATGGGTATATTATAATAATAATAATAATAATATACGTGTATATATCTATATGTATTTATATATATTATATATGTATATATGTGTTTATATATATACATGTATACAGTGGCAGATCTAGGATTATATATGTATCCATCTAAGACTAGATTTAAATGAAACAAACATGGTACTAAATTTAGTCTAAGCCAGTCCAAGCCAAGCCCGTATACCAAACGACCCCTAACAGTTTTGGGGTGGGGGTTTAACATGGAAGAGGAAGACGAAGGGAGAAATACTTATTTTTTAAAATAATTTTAATTAATTAATTAATTGTTTTTTAATTATGGAAAAAGGCCATGGCATTACCCTTTCCTTATTTAATTATTTTAAAAGGCGATAAGAAAGCTGTGAAAAAAAAGAAGGATTAATTGAAAGAAACATGGAAGCCAATTAAGGAAAAAAAAATTATATTTAATAAGGGTAAACTTGGAAAACAAAATCTATGCATTCATGACATTATTTTAAGTGTAAGGAATGTGACCCATGTCATGTGAAAAAGGGAGAAAGTCCAAAAGAGAAGATTGCTAGCATTTCCCCTGGAATATTACTCAAACAAATATATGGAAATTTGAGTTATAGTAGTTTTAATTTGCACTGCAGCAGTACTAGTTTTAATTCTCAACCACTTTAGGAATCCAGTGTGATAATTGAAGAAGCAGCTTCTGGACTTTCGAGTTGAGGCATGATTTGGCATTTTATAATGAACAATTGTGATGGTGCTTGTGTTCGTTTATTGTTGTTTCATGGTTAATTAATTATTGTGCTTGAGCTTTTCCAGTTAAGAAATCATTTAAAACCAAGTTTGGTTCATATTACTATTTGTTAACAGCTGTGTTTATTCTTGAGAATTATTATTCACACACACTCTACTCTTATTATTATCTTTCTATGGCAAAATAGTTAAGTATATTTGTGGGACTTCAATTATATGGGACTTCATTTAGCCAGTGTCCATACTCTCATAAGTAGTCACGTGTTGTAGATAAGAGTTATAGACACTCTTTTTACATAAGTAGTCACGTGTTGTAGATATGAGTTATGGATATAAGTTATGTCAATTGGTCAGTGCAATAAACCCGCCCCATTACATTCAAGTTCAAATCCACCTCCCCGAAAAATCACGTGCTAGCCGCATCAAGGGCATGTTGTTAGAGCGAAGTGGTACACACTTGTTGCATGTAAATATTTTCTCCCAAAGGTTGATAATGACATTACCTATAGGATGACTAAGAATGCTTAGAGGGGGTGAATAGGCCAATTAAAGATTAAAATCAAAAAACAAAAATTAAACTTCGGTAGCATAATTGATATGGCTTATCAATCTTGAAACATGCTAAGCATAAAAGTAAAGGAATATATAGAGAATTATTTTACGTGGTAAAACCCCACCTCTGGGGAAAATCCACGGGACTCCTCGGTCCAGAACAAATCCACTATAGAACGATGATTACAAGAAGTACTCACACACTTATCCTAGACACATTCTAGATAATATTTACCGACTTCTTCGTAACTCAACTTCTGTCACGGGATGATATTCGACACTCCTTATGTTGAATGCAATATTGGTCGCAATTGCTTCAAGCTCGCCGGAGGAAAACCGCCATCACAGTCTTGGTGCCCTCAATCGTATGAGTCACCGACATGCATATAAATGCAATATGAATGATGAAAGGATTTGATCCATCACCAAGTATATGGAATAGTTGATGACTTATCTGAAAAAATATGCACAACAACTTTCTCTTCAAAATTCTATATGCTCAAAACCAAATATGTCGAAAGTTATGTTAATAAAAGAGAGGCACATGGTCTTTGATTCACTTTAGATGCTATGTGATGACGCCAACTAATGCAAGATGTGAGGAAATCTAATGACTTCCACTATATCCAATCTTTTAAAACAATATCTACCTAAACAAATTAATTAGACCAATCAAGTATGAGCTGAATTCAACATGCAAGTCATAATAGGAAACGATAATATTTTAACTTAAATTAAAATAGAGTCAAACTATGAGAGTAATATCAAGAGATAAAATCTAATCCTATTAAAAATAGGACTAACATAAAAGTGTTTGAGTGAAAATAACTCAAACTAAGAGTCTTATAATTAATGCATGATTATGTCATGATTTACTTGAAATCAAGTTCCTCATATCGATCAATTCATGCTTCGAAAATCCGGGATTGAATGTGTTACGGCAAAACTTCCAGTAAAAGATATTCACACACTAATTCTCAACCTATGCTAGAGTCTAGAAAAGAAATGCCAATACAATTTTCATACTAACATGTACACCATTGACTTCAACCTAGCAATGCAATAGACTTTGAAGTTGTTTACCTAGGTCTTTCAAATTCCTGTATGGGCTTGACGTCCGCCTAAGCAACTAAGCAAAGCCATGGACTTTGAACCCAAGCTCAACTAAATTGGATTGGTTTTGCATAGTGCATTATCCAACTCAAGCCCAAAACAAGAAGAAAAGAAAACTCTTTAGCCGATCCTTGAATTCATCAGGGTCCTGTGGCAGGCCAAATCAAGTGTTTTTGGTTTTTTGTTCTTGGGCTTGAATTGGCGGGAAGTAGGCACGACCACCGTCACCTCCGGGCCCACCACGCAGATTCAAAATCAAGAAAGAGACTTGACTCATCAGCTGAAATTAACTACTCAAAATGAATGCTCTCAACGACCCAAAAGTAAAAAAATTTATTAATGTCCCAGCAGTGGCCCTGCAAGCTACCTTTGTTGTACTTGTACATTATTTGCTTTTCAAATTATGAAAACCTCTTCAATTCTTCAGAATCATTTAAAGTTCAAACTCATAAATTCAAGCAATACCCATTCAGAAATACTCTATTATAATTACTCTCTCTTTCCTTCTTATCCCATTTCACATATTTTTCACATAATCTCTGTCTGCCAAGTTTCCTTTTTGTCTCTCGGACTTGTTATTCATAGTTTGTGCACAGGAAAAGTGTGTGTGTATATATATAGTATTTGATAGTTGAAGAAGGAAGGATTCACGTGAATGCTTTGTGGGTTTTCTTAGAAAAAGTATATATAATAGGAGAATGGTTGGTTTTATGTGTAACATAGCTGAAGAAAAAGAAGAATCTGAAGAACAAGCAGGTGGGAAGCGAGAGAATGGAGATTCTTGGGCACGCTCAGCTGTTCATGCCCAGCACAGGCGTTCTAAGAGGTGCAGTTTTAATACTCAAATCAATGTTGTTATTATTATTGTTAAGTGCATCTTTTGTTTTTCTATGAGGTGGATATTTGCATTTCTATCTCCTTCATTTCATGGTTATGGATTTTTGTGTGTTGTATTATGATATATGATGATATAATCTGTTAGGTTAGTATCTATTTGTTATGGCTTTTAAGTTTTTAGTTGAATTTTTTTTCTTTTCTAAATCCCATGATTTCTGTAATTTTATTGCAAGGAAATATATTTTCTTTATGTGTGCTGCATCAGGGAAAGAAAATTCCACTCCAAGGGGTTTGACTGTTTGAGTTCTTTAGGCATCCTTTATTTGTTTTTCTTACAAGTTTTTATTTGTGTTTTGTGATTTTTAAGTAAGATTGTTGGCATATCATAGAACAATGTGATCATAGATGTGTGTAATAGGAAGAAAAAGATTTAGTGAGTAGTGACAATCAAAAGACTTGGGTAAGGCTGTTTTGCAGTGACTGAACCAAAGAGATTGATCATTTCTCTTCTCATACATGTTGGAATCGTCATGTTTTGGTTTCACTTTTGAAATTTATGTGGTTCTCCCTTTTCCTTTCAGTGCTTCTGACAGGAACTTAAATGTTCCAAGAAGTAGAGTTTCTGCGAAGAAGGACCAAAATGAAACGCAGGTGAGATCACTTAACCAGTTGAAGTTAAAATAATAATTGTCTCCTGCTATTTATTGGTATGTTCAAACTTGACAATGTATAAATTCATAACTGACTGCAGATTGAATCTTATTTTTAATTGGATTTAAACAAAGATGCTTACTGTTTTCTTCATGAATTTAACAGATGTCATCACCTTCTACAAGTGCGTCTAGGGGACAAAGTCCTTGGCATGACAATCCTGTTTATATTAACAAGAATATGCCATCAAACCACAGAGCCTCTTTGGAAAAAGACGTAAGAAATGGAATTCAATTTCTCTGTCTTTCAAAATTGTGTTTCAATAAATATTTCAATAGCGTGAGGTGTGGCTGAGATTAATATGATTGTAGTATGCTTCACAGTTAACTTATCTTTAATTGGTTGCAAGCATTGGGTAGTTATAGACTAGATATTCCAAACATTTCAAGTTATACAGCTTCCATCTTCTTCTTTTTCTGGTGGTAGGGGAGTCTGGGGAAGATTTCGACTTACCGAAAAATGTGCAAGGTTCCTCCAAAGTTCCTATCTATAGAACATGTGTATGAATCTGAATCCACAATTATTTTACTTTTGACATAGGAAATTTGGGTTTCCAAACTATAGGCACGCCATGTCTACAAAAGTGGATGGAATGCATGACTTGGTCAGGGGTGACTGGACAAATCTCTAACCATTACAACTGTTGGTTTTCCATGTCATTTATGATGCGAGCATAATATGGTTTACCCAAAACTGTATACAATTTTGCAGATTGAACAGCTGCAGTTGCGTTTGCAGCAAGAGAAATCGATGCGCAATATGCTCGAGAGGGCAATGGGACGAGCATCAAGTACTCTATCACCTGGACATAGGCATTTCTCTGTCCAGGTAGTTACTAAACTTTTCTTATTTTACTTTAAAGAGCTGTTGCGGAATAATCCAGTAGTTAACGTATTAACTTAGGCCTCAATGTCGTACCTTCATGTTTCAGCTGATCTAGTGTGGAAATGATGATAACATGCATCATTTAACTAACACTTCGTCAACTATATATAAAGAACTGCTTTGAATACACTCTTAATTATTAGTTAGCACATAAGCCTTTGGTGCAGTGCTGTAAATCCTTAATTTTTTTGTTCTGTATTTTTCATACTTCAACTTAAATACATATCTCCATGGCCCAATCAAATTACTCTTAAAGTTTGGACTGTTGAGCTAAACAGAGCAGTCTTCTACCAATGCAAATGAACCTTTTCCTGTGGTTGCACCTGAACCTTTTTCATCAATTATTTAATTGCCTTCTGTTTTCTGCATGCCTAAAACTGTATTATAGCAAATTCCAATTTCACTGTGTAGAATATGAATTGTCAACTGTACTATGAAACATACAAATATGTGTGCGTGTGTGTGTGTGTGTGTGTGTCTGTATATATGCATATATTCTTTTTTTATTTTTTCAAATTTGCTACATCTACTTATTGATATCTCATTCCACTTATTAGCTGCGATTCTTTGAATATGGAATTAAGGACTGCAAATTGTTTTATTTCTTTTTTGTTTAGACAAAGGAATTGATTTCTGAAATTGAATTACTTGAAGAAGAAGTTGCAAACCGCGAGCAGCATGTTCTCTCTCTCTATAGGAGTATTTTTGAGCAATGCATTAGCAGGCCACCTTCAGAGCAGAACTCAGTTGTGGCTTCCCCTGCCCATATGAAGAATGGATCCAGGAAACATCCGAGTATCATTTCAAGTGCATTTTGTTCCTCAAAAAAGTTTCCTTTCAGACATTTGCGAGCCCTAGTTGCTATTGATGACTCAGGAAAAAGAACTTTAAAGACTAGGCATACTACACAATCCAGTGACAAAAGTGACATCGATTTTGCGAAGACTTGTTCAAACCTAGCAAAGGTAGAGCATAAGTTTACTCTTGTTCTTTCACTGATGGACATTTGTTAAATGTATTTGTGTCATTTTATTGAAGATCATTGCTTGTGTAACACATAATATATATATATATATATATACACGTATAGGATTTGTGTTCAAAGTGTTGAGTTTGGCTGAGATATACACATTCATTATTAATTTAGTTCTAGATCCTTTTTGAACAATTTTATTTAGTTAATATATATCAAACTAGTGAAAAAGAATTTTAGTAGGCAGTGTAGAGTGATTTTCTCATTCAGGCCACTCAGAGAAATCAAAATGAAAAGAGGGGATATTCTGATACCCTTACTATTGCAGAAGATTTTGAAGTTAGTATGTCCTCCATGTTACTGGCCAATCATATAATGATCTATTTCGTCGAAGTGATTTCAAGTCATTTATTTTCCAGGTTCGTGAAAGGGTTCCAGCCCTGGAGAAAAATTCTATGCTGCGAACTCTGAAAGATCATCTCCACCAGTGCCCTAGTAAGTTATCTGAGGAAATGGTCAGGTGCATGGCTGTTGTTTATTGTTGGCTGTGCAATGCAGCGTCTGTGAACATCGAAAAAAATAAATCACCTTTGTTGTCGAGGTCATCAACGAATGTTATACAACCTCGACATGGTGCTGGAGATGCCCCAGATTGGTCTGGAAAATCAATGGTAGAAATAACTTGGATATCTACTGATAAGAGCAAGCTTCCTCATGCTTCTTTTGCCATCAATAACTACAGGTTGGCTTTTTTACATTTAATCTAATCACCCAAAAAATAACTCTACAATAGTAGAAGTAAAACAAGGGTATGTCCTTTGCCTTGAGTCACTGTGAATTTAACTGGAACAAGTTTGATTTCAATTATTTAGACCCTGTGTGTGTCAACTGCACTAAATTCAGGTTGTTGGTAAGAAAAGGTTAAGGGCACACCACTGACTAGCATGCCCACTACAAACCTCTAATTTTTGTCTTTAGAAATCTCCCCCGCAGATGCTTATCTAAATTTAACCTTTTTGTTTCTATTTAATCTGCTTAATAACATTCTAATATTGGAGCACAATAATTCGCAACCCATAAATCTTAGAGCTATATGATTAAACAACAAATCCATAATTTTTGGATCCTAATATGGTTGACGGGGTGATGACTTGTGCACTTACTAATTTTCTGTATGTGGGGCACATAGTTTAAGATACACAAATGCAGCTAACACATTTGCATCGGATCTCCTCTTATGTTTTACCTCATCAGGAGTGCTGACTCGAGATATACTTCATGTTTCAATTTCAGAATCTTGGTTGAACAACTGGAGAGGGTGAATGTCACTCTGATGGAATTGAATGCCCAAGTTGCATTTTGGATCAACACGTACAATGCTCTTGTTATGCATGTAAAAGTCTCTTAACCAACCATTGGTTTTCTCTTATTGATCTGTAAGTCTGTCTAATTTTCTCCTTACCCTTGTGCAGGCACATTTAGCATATGGAATTCCCCACAGCTCCCTAAGAAAGCTGGCTCTGTTCCACAAGGTAATTCACTTATTTGCTAGTACAATGGGTTTTGCTGGCAGCTTAAGAAGACTTGTGCATCTCATTGCAAATGAATGCTTTCTCTTGAAGTCCTGTCCACCAAGCATCATTTCGTTTTTTTTTCCTTTCTGAAAGATGGATTAATACATTATACATTCATTGGTTCATCCCATTTTAAAATTAAATTTTAGTTGGTTTGATCTTTGTTTCTTTCTTTTATATTCAAGTCTATTGCTCTTGCCTTTCAAGACATGGACTAGAAGATCCCCATTAAAGACAATCAGAATATCATCTTTCCCTTTTTGGCCATTACATAAAATGCTCAAGTGCCTTTTCATTTTCTATTGTCAATGTTTTTGAAGTTATCAAAATATTTGGTTTTCATGCCCAAAAAAAATGGTTGAGTCTAAAATAACTGAAGCAAGAAAAAAGAACCAATGCATTGGTCTATCTGTGTATTCTAAATTTGGAAAGAAAAGAAAAAGGATGATGAGCCTTTTGGTATAGTGCAGGCTGCTTACAATATTGGGGGCCAAGTTATCAGTGCAAATGCCATAGAGCAATCCATATTTGGCTTCCAAACACCCCGAATTGGACGGGTACTCACTACTCACCACTCTTTCTCTGATAATGCAAGAGGAATGCTAACATTCATTGACTTATTTCGTTTATTTCATAATTTAAATGGTTTGGCAAATCATTTGAGCTCTTCTTATGAATGACAACTTGAGCAGTGCATTTTCCTTCTTTCTTTCTTTAATATGAATAAGAAATACCATGTTTGAGAATGCTCATTCGGTCTACTTTTGTGTTTCCAGTGGCTTGAAACCCTCCTTTCAACTGCCTGGAGGAAAAAATTTGGTGAAGACAGACAACTTCGCAATTCCAAATTGGGTCTTCCAGTTTCTGAACCCCTTGTTTGCTTTGCTCTTTGTACTGGAGCCTTTTCTGATCCTGCGGTAACCATTTTGCTTTTATTGGTCCTGTTTTCACTTATATTGAAAATTTAATATATAATTGTCTAATGAATGTTAGGTTCTTATTTTCAGTATTTTCCCCTAATTTTACACACGTTTATTGGTCAATTACAGTGCTTTGGCACATGTTCTGTTCATAACTTATTTTTTCACCTAAAATCTGGTACTGCTGCAGAAAACTACTTTAAAAACAAATAATTTTATTTTTTTTTTATGATAAAAAACATATGGTAGCAACTTTTACTACTGAATTGTTTTTATTGTAAATCATTCTTCTAAAAACACACTCTGATCAGTGATATACTGCTTCCACTACATTGCTAACGGCATTAACGTTTGCTTGTCAATTATTTGTAGCTAAAAGTATACACAGCCTCAAATGTTAGAGATGAACTTGAAGAGGCAAAGAAGGAGTTTATTAAAGCAAATGTAGTGGTAAAGAAGTCAAGGAAAGTTTTTCTGCCAAAGATACTTGAAAGGTTTGCAAGAGAAGCGTCTTTTGGCTCCGATGATCTTCTCAAATGTGTCACTGAGAATGCTGATAAGAAGCTTAATGATTCAATACATAAATGCATTGACCGTAAATCCGGCAAGAAGGCATCTCAGATCATAGAGTGGTTGCCATACAATTCAAGGTTCCGGTATGTATTCTCAAAGGAACTATCTGAGAAGCCATGGTGGTTGTGATTCATTCCAAATGCTGGAAGAAACAAACCTGACTGACCACTTGAGGAAGCTAGTAGCTCATCAGACTGGTCAATCAAAACCTTCTAATTGTTTTCTTATTGTGCATCTGATCTTTTCTTGCTTTGAACGCTAGTTTCTTGCCCTACAAGCTTCCGTCTCACGAGTGCTTTGTATTAACCGGGTAGTTTCGATCTAACAAGTTTACCATTACTTGCAGCTGTTGTATAATTCAAGTTTCGCACCTTATTTGTACATTAATATGGTTGCTTGGTTTATGCCTTATGGCAGTAAAGTGTAATTGTTTGTCATTTCAACTTTATCCATGCCTCTAAATTCTAATTGCAGCACTGTATACAGTCACTTGGACAATTCTCACAACAACAAAACGTAGAATTAAAGAACTGAATTGGAACAATAAATCCGATTACATGTAATGAAATTAAGAATTTAATTGAAAGAACAACGAAATGAATCACATAAAATACATTAAAATTTCAATGTGGAAACCTAAACTCCACGTCATCATCATCATCGACTAGGACTAGGCAGGCAAGGAGAAGCGACACAGAGGGCAGAAGTGGCTTTTCTCCAACCACTCCACGATGCAAGCCTCGTGGTAAATATGCGAACATGGCAGACCACGACCTTCCGAACCCACCGCAATCTCAGCTATACAAACCGAACAACAAACCCCAGCCGTTTCCACTCTCACCCTCTCCAGCTTCTCAATTGCAGATTTACTCGCCGGTACAAACGCGGGCTGCACTTCATTATCCGCCGCCACGTCCTCAACGATCGCATCAATCTTTATGCACGCCTCCATATGCACACGTAACCCCCGGCTGCCGCTGCTACACACTCTCCCAAGAAGACTCCGTGAGGCGTCATGGACTATAGTAGCAGCGACGCACCGAAGGTCCTGGGACGAGACGTGGATAGACTTGGATAGCTCGTTGGATATGGTAGCCAAAATGGATGACTTGGACCTGTCCTCCATTAGTAGGTCAATCTCAAGTTTGTCGTGGTAATCGAAGCTCTCGGCGGGTTGGCCCACGTGATCATCTTCTAACATCATTACTTTGTAGTGGTCTTCCAAATCCTCATCGTCCTCTAAATTCGAAGGCAACACAATTTGTGTGACAGTGGCGTAGATGTCTAGCCACAATTGAGATTTCACGTCGGTTTCAGGTAATTCGGAGACTTCGAGAATCCGTGTGGCGTAATAAGGATCACCCAAAACCTCCCAATACTCATCGGCCATAACAACAAGAAGAACAGCAAACTAGGGTTTAGAGGGTTGAAAGGAGACGCTGAGAGTTAAAATGATAGGCGTAATGAGAAATGCCTAGGATATATATATACAAGGATTTTGGGGTTCTTGCTTGGCAATCAAGTCACGCGAATTTAGTGTTTTCGTTTGGGCTTGGCCGTCTTTTCACCCCCAAAAAAAAAGAGGCAAATTGATATGCAATTAATAATCCTGCAACCAATAATCCCTAAATTCTAGCATTAAAATTCTCCAAAATAAGCAAATAATCAGGTTTATACAAAACGGGAATTGGAAGAAAAAAAAATTTAGAAATTCGGTTAAAATAATAGTTGACTAATCAATAAGTACGTTTGCTTAGTGGAACAATTGTCAATGGGCTACATCAATTCCCAATCTAATTGTTATTAGGGAAATTTGTATAACTGCCACCTGAAAACAAGTAAAGTGTTGTAATTTACCACCTAAGTCTAACTCTGTTAAAAACTTACGTTAGATCAAGTTTTTAAATATTATTTTCCATCAATTTAGTATAATTTTGAAAAATTAAATTTTAAAACTAACATATTTATAAAACAAACAAACAAAACAAAACCTAATTATCCACGGCTTCCCCTACCCCCACCCCCACCTTCCAACACACCCCACTGCCCAGTATACCCTCTCCCATCCACCCTCTCCCAATACCC